GGGGAAGAGCGTGACATTCCGCTGGATTTGCAGCAGGTTGAGCACCAGGGCCAGGACCACACCGAACGAGAAGAGCACGAGGCTCCGCTGCACCAGGTCGTGGTGCCAGCTGCCGGGCCGCGCGCCACATCCTGCCGTTCCCGCTCACTGGCCCCGGGGCGCCGGCTCTGGGGCTCCGGGGCCCTGCGGACAGCGGGCTGCCGCAATCATGCCTCGTGGGAGGCTGTACGGCCTCGCAGCGCCAGCGCTTGGGCAGCTCCAGACGTGGTCGTGCAGCCTGGGCATCGGCGGCCAGGCGCACAGTGGGAGGAGCACACCACGACACCAAGGGTAGCGCTCCTGGACTGCCCAGGAGCGGCCCAGACTATATTTTTAAGTGTTACAGTTCTGAAGAGAAATATATCCTGGCTGTCAGAAGCCATGCAATACCTATTGCTCTAAAGAGAAAAGTATCCTGGCCAATGGAAGACAGGAAATACCTAAGCTCTGAAGGGAAAATTATGCTGGATGTCAGAAGCCAGGTGATACCTATATCTTAGAAGGAAACAGTATTATGGATGGCAGAAGCCAGGCAATACCTACACCTCTGTTTTTTAAAATTTTAATTCATTTTATATATAAACCACAGATCCCTCTCTCATTCCTCCTTCCATTTGCTCTACCTCCACATTCCACCACTGACCCACCTCTCATACCCTCCTCCAAAAGGATACGTTTTCCCATGATGGGACAGTTAAGCCTCGTACATTCAGTTGAGGCAGGGTGAAGCCCCTCCCTGTTTCAACAAGTGTGAGTAAGGTGTCTGATCATAGGTAATGGGATCCAGAAAGCCAGCTCATGCACCAGGGATAGATCCTGATCACACTGCCAGGGGCCCCTCACACAGACCCAGCTGTCCAACTATCTACCTATGCAGAGGGTCTAGTCTGGTCCCATGCAGGTTCCACAGCTGTTGGTCTAAAGTATACAAGTTACTATGAACTTGGTTCAGTTGTCTCTGTAGATTTCCCCATCATGATCTTCACCACCCCTTCTTGTTCATATAATCCCTCTTCCTCTCTTCAACTGAACTCCCAGAGCTTGACCTGGTGCTTGGTTGTGGATCTCTGCATCTGCTTCCATGAATTACTGGATGAAGCCTCTGATTACAGTTAGGATATTCACTAATCTGACCAGGGTAGGCCAGGTGCTAGTAGTCTAATCTGGGGACATCCTTGTGGATTCCTGGAAATTTCCCTAGGACTAGATCTCTCCTTTGTCCCATAATGTTTCCCTCTATCAAGATAACTCTTCCATTGCTCTCCCACTCGGTCTGTCCCCTAGCTCAATCATCTCATTCCCTCATCTTCTCCACTCCACATCCCCAGTTTATTCATGGAGATCTCCTCTGTTTCTCCTTCCCAAAGTGATGCATAAATCCCCCTCAGGGTCCTCGTTATTTCCTAGCTTCTCTGGAACACTTACACCTTTGTTCTTGTGGGGGATGTTTTCCCCACAGGAATGTAGCAGTTCTGCTCCCTTCTAGGAGAGACATTATTTTTCTGCTCCACTCTGCTAAGGGAGTTTACCTGAGGACATGTAGCAGCTCTGCTCCTGATCTGGTGAAAGATGTTATTTCTCTGCTCCCCTTTGTTAAGGGAATTACCATGATCAAAGATTGACTGGATTTCATGCTCAGGGATTTATTGGTTTTCCTGCTCAGGAATTGGTTGGTTTATGTGCTGAGTTGGTCAGGGGCAGAATGTGTTTCTCTGAGTGTGTTGGTCTCATCATCTCAGGTATTTAGTTCCACCACTGAATTGATCATGTTTTGAGACCCATGAGCTCTGCTCTCTGGGGAGTCCCAAGCAGGAGGGTGCTGAAGGAAACTTCTGGCTCTTAAAAAAGAGTTTTGGAAATTTAAAGACCTTAAGACATGATGGGAGGAAGAGATACTTGTCAGGAACAAGCTATCTTCCTGCCAAGGCTTTCTGAAGCAGGAGAAGGCAAAGGTAAGTCCAGATGCTCCCACAATCAGAACCTACTCTGACCCCAGTGTCTCCTTCCCTGGTCTGAGGGGATCAAATCTCTCCAGTGTTGGAGAGGTGGTTGCTTCTTCTGTCTTAGAATCTCTGCACACATGTCCTTCATTTCTTCAACCTGTCCATTTAGAGTTTACCTGGATTCTTAGGACAACTAGTTATCTTCCTGGTCTTGAAGATGCTTTTGTGAAGATACAGGCTGTTGCTTTTCCAGGGATTGTAAAGCCATGGAGATGCACTGAGCACATGACTACAGTTCATGTGGAGACAAACCCTTCCTTCCGGAACTCTGTTTAGTGCAAGAATTGCTCCTTCCTCCTAATACCCATGTAGTGATTATTAACCACTGGGAACATGTTACATCCACTCAGTCCTGGGACAGAGAGTGACTGGTGTCACCAACTGGTTCCTTCTTTGGACTGAAGGAGACATATTTGCAAAAGTGACAATGATGGGTAAGTTAGTGGCAGCTTTCTACACATGAGGGAGCTCCATAGAAGGAAAGTTAGGTCTCTCTAACAGTGGGAGTCGTGTGAGTCAAGGGTTGAGGCTGCATTGAAGATGGGTGGAGTCCAGGCCTGACCAGAGTATAAGACCCACTTAGGAGTACTTCGCCATCAAGGAAGACCAACAACCATTGTGAAATGTGAAACTCTTGCAGACTGCTGTGACTCCATCTTAGCCTTGTGCAATGGATATGATCTGTGCTTTCATCTTTAAATAAGGCAAATGTTTATGCAAAGGAATATATGTTGCTGCTCCAGGGAGTCAATTGTTA